TTGCCACAATATTCATAAGTTTTTGGCGTTCACACCACTCAAAAGCAAAAACAAAGAATTAAGGCGAATTGTGTGTTTGCCTCATGTGTTTCTTGGCGTTAATGGCGCTAGCGCTATTCATATCTTGGTGTTGGCGCGGCAACTCCGGTTACGGTGTTAACGCAAGGTTTATATATAATCTTATATTAGTTTATATGTATAGATCTTGGTGTTAACGCAAATGCGCCGCGCAGCGCAGTGTTATCCATGTCCAACCACAGCCGTACCGCGATGTTTTTCCCTTTCTCTAGCCCGCGCTCGCACCTTCGCTGCTGCGACGGCAAACAAGTGCCCACCTCTGCTCTAGAGGATAGAGGAACTGGAAAAAGTAGGCAGTCGGGTGATCGCCTATGTAAATGATTAAGGGTTGATGGGGAATGGTTAAGGGACGATTTCTATACACCCTTTTTGATCTGGCTCTGAGTTACCTAAACCAGGTAACTAGGTAGGTGATCAACGGCGGCAGTCGTGGAAGCCTAACATTGAAGAAAGGGTAAGAAAGGTGTCGGTTGCCATGTAGTACTGTCAAAGGTGAGGTCCTTCGCCCAAAATAATTGACTATCTCTAGGAAATCAGATTTAAGCCTATCTTGTTTCAAGGAGCCCTCGTCTGGTTGAGCTCACTAGAGAAGGCTACATTTGTAAAACAGGAATCGGAGCATTAAGAACCACTCTGCCGCTTAACATATGTTTAACACGGCCCACTATGTTCTGTTTTGGGAAAAAATGGACAAAATCAAATATCTCCCGATCCAAACCAGAAAGAGACACAAACTAAACGGCATTATAATGCCCAAGTACTGGTGAATAGGGGAAAATTATTCAGATTCTTCAAAAACAGTTTCTCGACCTTGAATTCCAAGGTCAAAGTTCAACTAAAAAAAAAAATTATATATAAAAGCAAATATATAGCGATTGAAAATTAATAGGGACCGAAATGAAATAGTATTTTAAACCCCAAGTATNGCTTCATTACTCCTGCATTACTTGTCAACTAGTTTCAAATTACCTTTTTGCAGCTAACTACGGGTTATATATTTTATTGAAATCCTGCAAAAAAGCTAACTACAAGTGGGTTATTTTTTAGCAATTGATAATTTTTTTCTGCTGGGAAGTGGAAGAAGGCAAAAAAATAATTGATATAGTAAGTGTTGTGTGTTGTGTTGTGTTGTGCTTGTGCTTGTATGAATGTGTTTTGTACATACATTTCTATTCTTATTTGACGTTAGTTTTGTTGTTACCATTCTTTGGACTAAAAATTTGGTTGTTTGCGTTCCTTAAATTTTTTTTTTCTTACGCTTTTGCATTTTGCTTACGCTCTTGCATTTTGCTTACGCTCTTGCATTTTGACACTTTTCAGATTTTAGTCTGAAAATGAATGGACCTTATTATTTCTTTAGTTTTCGCTGAGCAACACTTGTACCGCCAACCGAATTTAGCTGCTAGTAAATGCCACGATATTCTCATCTTTCTTGAGTAAAGCTATAAATTTGCCACAATATTCATAAGTTTTTGGCGTTCACACCACTCAAAAGCAAAAACAAAGAATTAAGGCGAATTGTGTGTTTGCCTCATGTGTTTCTTGGCGTTAATGGCGCTAGCGCTATTCATATCTTGGTGTTGGCGCGGCAACTCCGGTTACGGTGTTAACGCAAGGTTTATATATAATCTTATATTAGTTTATATGTATAGATCTTGGTGTTAACGCAAATGCGCCGCGCAGCGCAGTGTTATCCATGTCCAACCACAGCCGTACCGCGATGTTTTTCCCTTTCTCTAGCCCGCGCTCGCACCTTCGCTGCTGCGACGGCAAACAAGTGCCCACCTCTGCTCTAGAGGATAGAGGAACTGGAAAAAGTAGGCAGTCGGGTGATCGCCTATGTAAATGATTAAGGGTTGATGGGGAATGGTTAAGGGACGATTTCTATACACCCTTTTTGATCTGGCTCTGAGTTACCTAAACCAGGTAACTAGGTAGGTGATCAACGGCGGCAGTCGTGGAAGCCTAACATTGAAGAAAGGGTAAGAAAGGTGTCGGTTGCCAGTTACTACTGTCAAAGGTGAGGTCCTTCGCCCAAAATAATTGACTATCTCTAGGAAATCAGATTTAAGCCTATCTTGTTTCAAGGAGCCCTCGTCTGGTTGAGCTCACTAGAGAAGGCTACATTTGTAAAACAGGAATCGGAGCATTAAGAACCACACTGCCGCTTAACATATGTTTAACACGGCCCACTATGTTCTGTTTTGGGAAAAAATGGACAAAATCAAATATCTCCCGATCCAAACCAGAAAGAGACACAAACTAAACGGCATTATAATGCCCAAGTACTGGTGAATAGGGGAAAATTATTCAGATTCTTCAAAAACAGTTTCTCGACCTTGAATTCCAAGGTCAAAGTTCAACTAAAAAAAAAANTCTGTTTTGGGAAAAAATGGACAAAATCAAATATCTCCCGATCCAAACCAGAAAGAGACACAAACTAAACGGTATTATAATGCCCAAGTACTGGTGAATAGGGGAAAATTATTCAGATTCTTCAAAAACAGTTTCTCGACATTGAATTCCAAGGTCAAAGTTCAACTAAAAAAAAAAATTATATATAAAAGCAAATATATAGCGATTGAAAATTAATAGGGACCGAAATGAAATAGTATTTTAAACCCCAAGTATTGCTGAAAAGAGCCAAACTGTTTCGATTTGTCAAAAACAAATTCCCTACCGTGAATTCCGAGGTCAATGGTCAACTAAAAAAAAATGTTTTCTGATTTAAACATACCTAAATGTTTTTTAAATCGTTTTATGCGATATAGATACATATAAACGCACATATGTATGTGTGGTGGGTCATATCTATATAATTTTAGATACACAATATCACATGTATATATAATGAAAATTCGTCCTTGTATGTATAGATATGTATATGTACATTAGACTGTATCACCAAAAAAGTTGCGGTTTTTCCGCCGGGATTACAAAATCTATTATATTTTAAGACGTCCACCAAAATATTTCGGAAAAATATTAAGATTTAAGCGAGCTGGACCGATTTGAAAATACCTTCAAAAATGAATTTTTTTATGAATAAAAATAGTTTCTTAAAGAACTTTTTGAAAAAGTCCCCTCATATAACAAATTAGATAAAGCTTAAAAAATCTGAATAAAAATATTTAAAAATCTTTTCAACGGAATCGTAAGAATGGGATTTTTGATGCTGTTTTTTACTTTTTTCAAAGATTGGTTTACGAAAAACTTGAATAACTGGGCCAAAAACATTCTGATTTAGACTTATGGGATCTCAATATATTTCTGGCCAAAAAAAACTCATTCGTGTCCCATCTTTGAATGATGTTCGTTCATCCTACCTTTCTCTTCTATCCTTTGAATGAGTTTATTAGCAAAGAAATAAAAAGGGTGAGAAAATACGTTTCCAATGACACCTCTCTTAAGTCTAAATCGGAAGAGTTTAGGTTCAGTTATTCAATTTTTTCCTATACCAATCTTTGAAAAAATGTAAAAAACAGCATCAAAAATCTCATCAATATGATTCCGTTCAAAATTGTTTTATTTATTTTTAAATATTTTTATGCAAGTATTTTAAGCTTAAACCGTTTTGTCATTTGAGGGGATTTTTTCAAAAAAAATCTATAACAAAATATTTTTAGTCATAAAAAACTCCATTTTTGGAGGTATTTTCAAATCGGTCCAGCTCACTTANAATCTTTTCAACGGAATCGTAAGAATGGGATTTTTGATGCTGTTTTTTACTTTTTTCAAAGATTGGTTTACGAAAAACTTGAATAACTGGGCCAAAAACATTCTGATTTAGACTTATGGGATCTCAATATATTTCTGGCAAAAAAAAACTCATTCGTGTCCCATCTTGTTTTTTCGAATACCAACACATCTTACTTCAACTTTGAATGATGTTCGTTCATCCTACCTTTCTCTTCTATCCTTTGAATGAGTTTATTAGCAAAGAAATAAAAAGGGTGAGAAAATACGTTTCCAATGACACCTCTCTTAAGTCTAAATCGGAAGAGTTTAGGTTCAGTTATTCAATTTTTTCCTATACCAATCTTTGAAAAAATGTAAAAAACAGCATCAAAAATCTCATCAATATGATTCCGTTCAAAATTGTTTTAATTATTTTTAAATATTTTTATGCAAGTATTTTAAGCTTAAACCGTTTTGTCATTTGAGGGGATTTTTTCAAAAAAAAATCTATAACAAACTACTTTTAGTCATAAAAAACTCCATTTTTGGAGGTATTTTCAAATCGGTCCAGCTCACTTATGTCTTAATATTAATCCGAAATATTTTGGTGGACGTATTAAAATATAATAGATTTTATAATTCCNATAACAAAATACTTTTAGTCATAAAAAACTCCATTTTTGGAGGTATTTTCAAATCGGTCCAGCTCACTTAAATCTTAATATTTTTCCGAAATATTTTGGTGGACGTCTTAAAATATAATANAGTGCGTGCGTGTGCATGTTTGTGTGTATGTGTGTGTGTGTGTGTGTGTAGTAATTTAGTGACTATCTACATACTTAACGTTAATATAGGGGATTTTCTTAATCAACACATCACACATTTCAAATGAGCAATGGTAAAACTATTCGAGTAAAATACCACGTTGATAGGACAATGTTCGATGGAAAATGGAAATACCTTAGTAGGAAATGCAGCTACAAGTAGATGTCCTATATGTTTAAAAACCTCACATCAGTTCGGATATGTAAACGACGTGTTTACAACGTCGAATCTTTATTATTTGGATTGGGGCTGCTACATGCCGAAATAAAAGCGTTCGAACATTTGCTGCATTTATCAAACCGATTACTTATCAAAACATGGGATGTACGTGCCAACTTGCAAGGTGAGGTTGTTTAATCATTGGATTTACAAGAGCAGACGTAATTGTGTTTCTGTATTTACTTTTTNGGCGCGTGCGTGTGCATGTTTGTGTGTATGTGTGTGTGTGTGTGTGTAGTAATTTAGTGACTATCTACATACTTAACGTTAATATAGGGGATTTTCTTAATCAACACATCACACATTTCAAATGAGCAATGGTAAAACTATTCGAGTAAAATACCACGTTGATAGGACAATGTTCGATGGAAAATGGAAATACCTTAGTAGGAAATGCAGCTACAAGTAGATGTCCTATATGTTTAAAAACCTCACATCAGTTCGGATATGTAAACGACGTGTTTACAACGTCGAATCTTTATTATTTGGATTGGGGCTGCTACATGCCGAAATAAAAGCGTTCGAACATTTGCTGCATTTATCATACCGATTACTTATCAAAACATGGGATGTACGTGCCAACTTGCAAGGTGAGGTTGTTTAATCATTGGATTTACAAGAGCAGACGTAATTGTGTTTCTGTATTTACTTTTTCAGACACCTTCATAGCACGAAAGAAGGCAATACAAAAAGTTCTATATGATAGATTAAGGTTTAAGGTTGATTTATGCTTGCAAGGACATGGTACTACAAACACTGGAAATTTGGCGGGAAGGTGCTTTAGTGAGGCTTCATTGTTTGCTGAATGTTTAGAGTTAGATTACACGTTAGTTAAGAACATCGCACACATTTTAATTTGCTTCGCTATCTGTCCCACAGCTTATCGCGCAGAAGATTTTAACGTGCCAAAAAATTCGGATTGGTTGGTCAGTTTGCCGTATCCGGGAAAAAACTCCTCTCTCCAGATGCTATAGGTGTTTAGATTTTGGGCACCAAGCGCGGACCTGCAAAAATGAGGATCGCAGCGGTTGCTGCTTTAAATGCGGGGAGAAAGGCCACAATGTTAAACAGTGTAGCAAGGAAGCCGCTTGCGTGCTCTGCAAATCTAGTGGTCAAGCCAATGAAGCCCATATTGCAGGTGGTAAGCAGTGCCCATTCTATCAGCGTGCTAAAGTATGAAGCTTCTACAATTAAATCTTAACCACTGTTCAGCTGCTCAGGAGCTACTCTGTCAAACCCTTATAGAGGAAGACATTGACATCGCTATATCGCTTAAAAAGATTTAAAACAAATAAGAAAGTCTAAGTTCGCCGGAGCCGAACATTAAATACCCGGCGCAAGTATTAAATATATGTTTTCCACCTTTCCGAAACCTACCGCTACATGGTAAGCTGGGGCGTATCAATTTTGAGTAAATTAGAGTCCTCAAATTTCGAAATTTTGAGGTTTCACGCATTTCTGAAATTTACCGTTATTGAGAAGCGGTGCCACGCCCATTTTCCAAAATTTTATCACAAGCATATTTCTTGGTTAAGAATTGTTGTAAGCATCAATTTTGAATAAATTAGCTTTAATATTTACTCATTCAAAGATTTTGTATTTCTCTAAATTACCGTTATATGGGATGTGGGCGT